TCTCTCTCTCTCTCTCTCTCTCTCTCTCTCTCTCTCTCTCTCTCTCTCTCTGTCTCTCTCTTTTTTTGCAGAGCCGGGGATTGAACTCGGGCCCTTGCGCTTGCCGGGGAAGGGCTTATTCCCCTGAGCCATCTCCCTGGCCTGCTTCTCTTTTCTTATACTGGCTAGTGCCCTCTATATGAAGAACTGCAATGACTGTCTTACTCTGAGTTTTAAGGAAATACATAATTTAAATGACAAATCACTAAGTGCAATATGTTGTTGGCTTTAGTATCATTCTGTCAGGTTAAAGACAATCTCCAGATGGCTGAACTTTTAAAATTATGAATGAACATTAGATGTTATCAAATGCTTTTCTGCATCCATTTAGATAATCATGTTTTTCCTTTAATCTGTTAATGCATCGGATTACATTAGTAGACTCTTAAGTCGTTAATCTGGTAAAGTGCATGTTTGGGACAAACAGGACATGTTTATGGCATTTTCGTGTATGTAGTTTGCTAATGGCAGGCTAGGCTTCTTGTACCCATGCTCCTTAGTCTGGCCTGAAAATTTTGGTTCTTACTATAGCTGTGTACTAGTCTCATAAAATGCATTGTCCAATGTCTTTGTTTTCTACTCTGTAATGCTCTGTGAAGAGCCATATTTTGCAGTACATGCTTGTGCACTGTATTCGCTTGGTGTCTCATGGAAGGTTTTTTTGGTTTCCATGGGATTTTTTTCTCCAGCACATTAGCATTTTACACTCAAAGTAAGAACATCTACATGAAGCAAACCCACACAGCTGAGAGCAGCACAACTGGAGAAAAGAAAACTATGCTTGATTTTCCTTCGACTGTGGCATTGCGTCACTCAGCGGCTACCTGTTTCCTCTCAGGGACCCTGGTGGTCTGTGCTGCTGTGGTGCTGGGGGTCCAGCCCAGGGCCCCCATGCGCTGGTGTGGGCCCACCCCTGCACTACGCTCTAGTGCGGCCATTGCGCTTCAGTAGGATGTGGTTTCCAAGGACGTTCTACTTCCAGATCTGCGGGCAGCTCATGGGTCTGTTCCAGTTTCATTCTCCTCACACCTCTGGTTGTATTTGGAGTTTTCCACAACATGCGGTTTTCAAGGATACACACTCGGTGCTCAGCACCAGCAGCTGTGTTCAGTGCTTGGTAATTTCGTGCTGTTTGTCTGCACCTGGACTCTATATAACGGCTGCTCCTTCTGCCTGGTAGACGTCAACATTGTTTTATCAAATTCTTCACTCAGGTCTCTGCCAAAATGTCATGGATCACAGAGGCGTTCCACGTGTCCACCTGGACACCCATACCCAAAGTGACAGAGCTGCACCCTGCCTCCTATCACGTGCATGAATTAGCTCAGCATGGGCCAAGGACCTAAGTGCAAGAGCCAAAGATCTAACAATCCAAGAATAAAATATAGGCGTAAATTTCCATGACTTTGGGTTTGCAATACATCCTTAGGTGTGACTCTAACATTGCAAGAAATAAGAGAAAAATAAGTTTGAATTTCATCAAAATTTTAAACTTTTTTGTATTCACTTTGTAGGACCAGCTTTCATGCTCTGAGGACAGCATCTCTGGCCTGTCACATTAGACCCCTCCTTAAAGTCTCCACTGCCTCAACACTGCCACACTGGGGACCACGGTGGGGCCAAGCTTCCAGCACATGCATCTTCAGGGGCACTCGACCCATATCCAGCTTATAGCCTGGTTATAACGAATCAGCACAAACTTGGACAAATGAAAGGGCTCAGCTGTTTTCTCTGAAGCTTCTAGAGGGCCAGAGTCTGAATGCGGTTTCTCTGTGAGCCGCACTCCTCAAGGGCAGACCATTTCCTGGGCTTTTCTATGTCTTCAAGCTACATCCCTTGGCTAACGATTTTTTTGGGTGTCTTCAAAACCTTTCTGTGAGGTCTTCAGCCTTTCCCTGCTTCCAGTTCAGCACCACACCTTTTTTACTTACAAGGACCTTCACAATGACAGGGAGCCCACCTGGGGGACCCAGGATTTTCTGGCCATCTCAAAATTCTTAATCTGATCTCATCTGCAAAGGCCCATTGTCATGGATCACATGTCCTGGAGAGCAGGACTTGAGCAGATGTGGGCCCGTATTCAGCCCACCATGGCCTTTGCAGAAAACGTCTTCTGCCAGGTGCTTGGGACCCCAGCCCTGGGAGTTTCCAGCCTGGGCCGCCCGGTGAGTTCAGGGTCAGCTGAAACTGTGCCCCAAGACATGTCCTCAAAGTAAATAGCTAAATAAATTCATTAAAAGAAAAAAGAATAAGTTCCCAGCTCTGGAACTCCTAGACTTTTCCCTCCATGTCTGGGATGAATTCCCTGAGATTCATTCTATGGCCTTTTCCACTTTGATTTCTCTAATTCTGAGGAAAATTTGTGTTCTGGCTAAAGGTTCTCCTATTAAACAAATAAAAACAATTAAACCACATCTCTGAGCTAAGAGTACTCTGGTATCTAATAAAGACTTTTCAAGAAATGAAAAGATTCTTAAATATATTCATTCTTGAGACTTTTTTTAAAAAAAATGTATTTAGTACAGGATCTGCAAAGTCTCACTACACATATTGGACTTGTAGTGAGTCTCCTGTTTTCAGCCTCCTAAGTACTAGGATTACAGGCGCACACCACCATGCCCAGCCTCAATTGCTGTCTCAGCGCTTCCCGGGGGCGGGGCTGGCATGGCATGCCAGGGATCGAACCCCAGTCTCTGTACCTGTCTAAGCAGGTGCTTTAGTCCACTATCTATTTGGCTGGCCCCTCTTGAAACTTTTTATTGCCCTATGGGAGAAAGATGAAAACACAGCCTTCCTAAACATGTCCATAGTTCATTAAAGTATTTTGATTTCAAAATGGAGTCAATTCCTCCACTATCAAAACCATGAGCCCCAATTTTTATGTTCACCTTGGCCCTCCTGTCAGTGCTAGCCTCAAGCAACAAAAAGCTAGAAGGAAAACTGAAAATCTTTAAACTGCATTCAGCTCACTTGGCCAGCCATTAGGGACTCTATTATGTAGGGTAAGAGTCAGATTTGATCAAGCCACCCTAAGGTTTTCCTTTTGCAAACAACCCCCCTCTGTATATGCCACCTTACAGAGCAGCACAATGGTGCCATGTGTTATTTAGGAAGAAATACATGTCTTTCTTTGAGACAGGGTTTCACTGTTGCTCAACCTGGCTTCAAATTCAAGACCCTGCAGCCTCAGTCGGGATCCCATGGCTGGGACACAGGCCTAGGCCACTACATTCAGCTTAGATATGTATTTTAATACACATTCTGATTAACATTGTCCTTGATAGACTTCCTCGAAGCTTGCTGCTGGGCCTGCTGTAAGCCCTCAGGACTTCGTCTTTCAATAGTTGGGGTGCTTTGCAGCTGCCAGTGTGTGTGTGGCAACAGCCCTCCTTTGTCTGTTCTTCATTCCTGTGGAGTGCACCAGGCCAACAGCTCTGGCTCAAGCTGGACTAGAAGAGGCCAAATACAGCACGGGATTCTCCATTGATTCCGGACTAGAAGGTGTTGATTTGATTGGCTGAGTTCACACAATGTCTGCCATGCGGCCTCATAACCCTGTTACCAGTTATTGTTTTCTCCAAGCAATTAAGGCTGAATGAGGTAGCAAGTGCGGGGCCTTTACCCCGTGGGTGAGGCTGTGTGGGAGCACACGCGACAGTGGCCTTGGATGAGTCAGGAGACTGGGCTCAGCCAGGCCCGGCAACACCGCAACCTTCCCGAGACGGCAGTTGCCGGACAAGATGGATTTCCATTCTTCAAGCCCCTGCCGCACGGTGCGCTGTTACGGCAACCCAGAGGACCAGACTGCTACGTCCAGGTCAGGGAGTCAGTGGGGCCCTTCTCTGCGCAGATCTTCTAAATGTCGTTCTAAGCAGCTTGTAAAAATTCTGCGCTCCTATTTGGAGTCCACTGTTCCAGCTGTGGTGTGGCATCAGGCGTCCCCAGTGGGCCGTTCCTGTGCTGGGGCAGGCTGGGAAGTCCCGGGCTCTCCAGGCACAGCTCGGGGCGGCAGGGGCCCGGTCTGCAGATTCCCTTTCCTCCAGACTCTGAGCCTTTTCTCTGCTTGCAATCCTCACCGCTGTCCTGCCGCCTCTGCCCCCGCCATGTACTAGAACTTTATTTATTGCACAGAACTTGTATCTTTTCTTCAGATAAAGAAGTAAGAAGTGGGTGAAATGGGATGGTGACTGCCAAGTGCGCAAAGCTTTGGTCAGCGAAGTTGGAGCACTTCCTGCCTGCTTAATCACAGCGAGTACTGAGAGGATGACTGTGTTAAGTAGTTTGACGTGATCCTTGTACCTTTCTTCATTCCTGCCCCAGCCCTCTCCTCTGGCAGTCACTGGGCCACCCGGTGGTCACAGTGCCATCTGGTACTTTGTAGCTCAAAAAGCACATCCTTACAGCAAACCGTCACACAGTAGTTGACCTCTGGACAGCCCTTGGAGGGGCAGAGGAGGCCTTGGGAGAACCCAGAGGGAGATGATGTGGGCTGCAGATACACCCGCTGCCATGGTGGGGTCCACAGCTGCCCTCCCAGGGTGGGAAGGTGCCAAGGAGGGCAGTGGGCAGGGCAGCGGGCAGAGCTGTGGAGAGGCTTCCTTACGTACGCATGCTCCACATTTGTCTGCGTGGGGCTCTCAAGAAGGGACCTGCTGGGTGTCCTGAGGCGCAGGGGCAATGGAAGATGCCCCAATTCCCTCACAAAATGTGTTCCCACCAAAGGGAGGGATTTGTGGTATGGCATTCTCAGCCAGCTTCTGGCCACTGGGAACTAGCCAGTTAGGAATATATAGTTTTTATTTATTTTTTTATTTTAATTTTTTTCATAATTTTATTGAGAAACAAATAGCAATGAGACAGTTTCAAATCAAATTGGTAGGACAGTTTCAATAA